AGGGTTTAGTGGTGGGATGGCAGGGTTAGGGGAACAGTTGGGCTTGATGATCTTAAAGGGCTTTTCCAACCCAAATGATTCCATGATTCTATGATTCCTTCGCCCCTCCTGCTCTCTCTGCTTCGTCATTAAAAGCATTAAAATGGTGAAATTTGGATGAAAATTCTCCTTGCTAAAGGGGCTGGGGCTTTCTAGCATGGAGCATTATATGTATATGTTTATTTTTATATATGTATATAAGGAGAGGTCTCCAGGTGAGGGTCTGGGAGCCCATAGCTGGCCCCAAGGGCAGCCCCATCCCGGGGCATGGCTGGGCGGGATGCTGTGCTGGGTGCTTTGTGCTCAGGGAGGTGTGTGACCATCACGGGCTGCTCCTGCTCCTGGGGTCCGCCAGCACCCCCTCTGCTCTGCCGTGGTTTGGTACCCAGGTCACGGCATCCTGGTAGCACCAAACCACCAAAATCATCAGCTCAAGGCAAAAACCTCGGCTGGGGCAGAGTTCAGGCTGCATGCATCCTGGGCCTTTCTGGGCAGAGGGTGCATTTTGGAAAGGGGGTCTGGGGCGTCCCAGATGGGAGAGGCAGGAGGCGAGTGGGCAGGATGCTGCTGGGATGGAGAAGGGCAGCCTGCAGGAGCATCACTGCCCCCAGCCCACGTGCAATGCAGGTGTGCAGGCATGCACACACGTGTCAGGGCGGGTGTTTGTACACGTGTGCATGCGCAAGCCCGGCGTCGCGACAACTCCTTTGAGCTCCCTACCTTCTGCTAGTCCCTGATCCCCCATGGAGCCAGCCAGAGGGGGCGGTGACCCTCAGCATGGCCCCTGCACCCCATCTTGGCTGCACCCCCACTTCCCACAGCCTTTACCCAGCAGTTTGCCAGCTCAGCAGCATCCAAGGAGCAGGAGAGAGGGCTCCATGCCCCCCCCCCAGCATCCCACTGGGCCCAGCTGGGGGGTGCCAGGTCCCTGATGGGAGCCAGTAAGGGGGTGCTGGGAGCCTGGCGGTGGCCAGACTGGGGTGTTCCCCCGCTCCGTGCTGCTCCTCGCATCCAGCCCTCTGCGTGGGGAGGGGGAGCGGAGGGTGGAGCCTTCCATATTACCAGATCCAGTAGCTGTGACATTCAGTCTGGCAGAGAGATGGACTGAGCCCATCTGCACTGGGCAGGGACAGCAAAGTGGGGGGCACAGCCAGAGCCAGGTGGGGGTCAGGGCCCCCAGAGCAGGACTGAGCACCCGCTGCAGGAAAGGGACCTGGAGGGATCCAGGAGCAGAGCTAGGAAGGAGCAGCGAAGTGGGGTTAGGGCATGGAGGGTGCTGGATCACCCCTTGGAGCTGGGGTCCTGAGGCAGCCCCCCCAGGACAGGGCAGTGCAGGAGGAGCTGGGCTGTCCCCAGCCCCTCGGGGACTGAGCCAGGACACCCATGGGACAGGGCGGCACAGGGTTGGCTCCAGCTATGGGGGACCTGTGGCCACCCCCCAGCACCCACATGCTGCTGGTCCTGCTGCTCGCACTGCCGATGCTTCGGGTAAGTGTCCCCGGGGAGGAAGGGACCGCGGCGGGGCGAGGGTGGGCACTGAGCACAGTGGTCCCCTGCCTGTGACAGCCCCTTTGGGGTCCGGCCAGCCCCGGGGAGCCGCATGCCTGTGGTCCTGGTCCGAGGTCAGGTTCCCCCCAGGACATCCCCATCCCTGTCCCCAGCCCCAGCGCTGCCCGACCCAGGGGCGATCCCAAGCCGCAGCTCTGCGAGCGCCCGGCACCGCTGCACCCACGCAGGGGGTTTCCTCACGGTTTCTTGGGGGGGATCTGCCGAGATGCAGCTCAGGGATGGGCAGGGGGGTAGGTGGGAGATGCTGGTACCCCGCTACGCTCCCCGGGGCTGGGACAAGGCTGAGGGTCTGGCCAGGGCAGCCAGCAAAGCTCCTGCGGGGTTCAGCTCCAGGGTCTGCTCCAGGGCATCCCCAGGGAGGGTGACCCTGCTTTGCCCTGCCTGGGGGACGGTTGCCTCCATCCTCACATGGGTCCTGGTGGGGGCTTTGCTCACATCGTCCTACGCCCCCCAAGAAGCCCCAGACCCCAAGGGCCTGGAGAAGCACCTACAGGTGTGAAGGTTGGGATGGCTGGAGGGTGCAGGGGGCAAGGACCATGCATGGGGTGCTCCCCATCCCCGGGCAGACCCATGGGGATGGCTGGCACCGAGCCCCCGCTGAAATGGGGGGGACGTGGAGCAGTTGTGCTGCTGGAGCAACGCGCCGGCAAACCCACCCAGAACTTGCCAAATTGCTCCAGCAGCAGATGCTGGGGGCTTCAGCGGGAGGGGGCTTCGGCTCGGCGTTTGTCTGGAAAAACTTCGGGATTTCTGCTGGTGCTGCTTCGCTCCGCAAGTCTTTAGCTAACATGGAGGCTTTGAATAACGGAAAGAGAAAGAAAATGAAAAGAAAGGGAATGGGGGAAAGGAAGGGAAGAAAGGAAAAAGAAAGAGGTAAAAAGGAAAATGAAAATAGGGAAAAAGAGGGGAAAAGGGGAGAAAGGGGGGAGAGGGCGGGAAAAGGGGAAAAAAGGGGGGGAAGGGGGAAAAAAGGGGGGAAAAGGGAAGAAAGGGACGGGAAGGGAAGGGAAGGGAAGGGAAGGGAAAGGAAGGGAAGGGGATAGGGAGATGGGGGATAGGGGGATAGGGGGATAGGGGGAAGGAAAGGTGGAAAGGGGGAAAGAAAAATAGAGAGGGAAAGGGGTAAAGGCAGGGAAAGCAAGCAGGGCCAGGGGGAGCACTGGAGACTTTGAGGGCTTTATAAGGAGAGCAATGGCATCAGGCCCCTTCCCAGGTGGGGAAACTGAGGCACGGCAGGGAGTTGCCTTCCCTGAAGCAAGCTCTGAAGGGAGCGCCGCACATTACCTGCTCCAGTGCTCCAGCAGCCAGGCTGTATGGCCATAAATAATAAAAACCAGCAGCTTTGCAGCTAAAAGGGGCTGCGGCACCTCTGCCTGGTCCAGCTCCTTTGTCACTACGATGAAGCAATGTGCTTTCTCGGTGCTGTGCCCCGCAGCCATCACCAAAATGCATTTTGCAGAGCGGGAATTTCCTTCTAAATCTTGTGTTC